TAACTCGGCTGGGCAGCGTTCGGGAAATTACGACACATCTTCTCGTCAGGTATACCTCAATCTCTGAAAACTAAAGTGTAGGTACAACCAGTGCTTGTTACCAGTGATGATTTACGGATCTTCACTGCTGGCCGTATGATGACGCTCAAGGTCGCTCAGTGAGCTATGGAGAGGGCTATGCGCAGAGTTTCTCTGCGTGATCGACTCAGAAATGAGGATATCCGCAGTAAAACCAGAGTGACCGACATAGCCCAACGGATTAGTAAGCTGAAGTGGCAATGGGCCGGCCATATAGCTCGAAGAACCGATAACCGATGGGGAAGAAAGGTTCTCGAGTGGCAGCCTCGTACCGCTAGGCGAAGTGTGGGGCGACCCCCCACTAGGTGGAGTGACGACCTGGTAAGACATGCAGGAAGTCGATGGATGCAGGTGGCTCAGGAAAGTGCTTTGTGGCATTACTTGGGGGAGGCCTATGTTCAGCAGTGTACTTGTGAAGGGCTGTAATGATGATGATCATGATGATGACTAGAGTAGTTCATGAAACTGCAGTATTTAAAACCTCAACTACTTATGTTGTCTAAAATATTTAATATAACCTAGAAAATTCGCCTTGAAACACGTTGAGAGTGATTTTGAAAATAAAAATTATGAAAACAATAAAATAATAATTTAAAAAAGAGTTATGGTGAAAGTCTGTGCAATAAAAAGTTATAAAAAGTTCTTTAAAATTTACCCTCTAGCCACAGTGGCGCCACCCTTATTTAACGCTTTTCTACAGACACCGTTTAATACAGAGACGGTTTTCCTTACCACTAAACTCCATGCTTTTGTTCCTGGCGTGGGTGTCGCATAAGACACAGGAGATGGGCAGCAGCATCTTCCTGATAATAACTCACAACAATAAAAACTGCGGTTACCATCCTGCCTGCCAACCGTGGCAAATATGGGGGATATTTGTGGCAATCTATGGGTTTTAGCCAATTGAACATTGGATGCAGTGAATTTAATAGGCTGTAACGGTAACGGAAATTGTTACAACGAGTATTCCATAGCCATAAAAAATTCTGGCATTTCCCATAGTTGCTGCTAACGAGTTGCTAAAGATTCCCAGCGGATGAAATATGGGGGGGGGTGAGTGATTTAATTTGATTTTTATTGTATATTTTTGCAATAAAAATAGAGTTAGAGAATTGAGCTATATATTATGGCTGCAGCACGAATGGGTTTAGTAGGACAGAATCACGCTCTCACAGAATACCAGGGTAAAATAGCAGAACAGTGCTGCTGTTTTTAATGCGGTGAGCGTGGAAAGCCGGGGTCCCCTTTTTAATAGTTACGAGACGATCTATCTTAGTCCTCAAAGGTAATAACACGTCTGCATTTTGATTCTTAATTGAGGAAATGAAGAACGTGGGTCATATTATCCACCTACCATCAAGTGGACTATGTGTTACGCTTTTACAAAAAAAAATCTTTAATTTTTGTAAGCTGGTGTTGCGATTATCATTAACTTAATAGAATATCTACAAATTTATTCTTCTTTCAAACAAAAATACATCAAAGCTTACGTAAGCTTTGATGTATGTTTGTTTGAAACTAATTTAAAAAAATATTATATATTTTTTTAAATTAGTTTACACGAAGCAATGTTGTTTTTTATTTATAATATATATTAATACAATCCCACCCGGTGGTAAGTGGTGATGGTAAAACACACTGTCTTAGCGTAATGAAATGATTTCCAATAACAAATAAGGCGTTGAGAAGGTTACAAATAAAACTAAGTATAATACACATCAATTTACTGCCTATTAAAATTGAGTATTACATACATAATTATTTTTTTGTTATTTTATTCTTAAACTTCCTCCTCGTAATTCGGCGGAAGCTTTTCGAGTGTACAATGTCAAACAGACGAAATAAATACCTACCAACACCCGAGTTTTCTGAAGATTTAATTACATTCTTAGTAATGAGGAAGATTATTATAAGAGATAATAATAATAATTACACATCACACACGATATAGTATTTACACATATAATAAATCTGCTGAGTCCGTTACTTATAGCGCATAGTTAAAAAATTATTTTAAGTTAGGTTTGAGTAAAAATCAGTATTAATTACGTAACTCGATTTCACTTGCCATTGTTCATATTGACCGTGTATTGTAAATAGTACCCTGATCTATCACTAGGTCCATAACATTTAAAAAGAAATAAAACACGTAAATTACGGATAATACCTGTGGTGTTGGATTTGTTTATGAGTAGGGTTGCCAACTACTCTGTTTTCAAGAATACTTAAATACTAAACTTACTGTTTCTATATATTTGCTTTACATCTAAAATGTGAAATAAATAACTAGAAAGTATTAGTTTAGAGGGTGTGTTGTTATATGCCTTCTATAATTTGTGTTCTTCTCTATTAATATATGCTCTATGATCAAAGCACTGCACTATCTCTAGTATGTGGTCATTACTAGTAAAAAGTATTGCATTTTGTCATTAACGAAATTTTATTTAAATATTTTAGAAAAGGATATTATTTTCATTTAATAATAACACATATTTTACAATAACGTATCCTACTTTATATTTTAATAAATTTTCATTAATATACTTTATACTTTTGGTAATAAGAATTAAGTAAAAGAAAATACTTTATTTGGAATCTTTACTGCAATGCGCAAAAAAACACTCCCATACGTAATTTTTGATTGATTTATCGATTTTGTCCATACCAAAGGTAAACAGAACGGGGTCTACTAGATTAAAACGATTATTTGTTACTGATCGCAACGGTAGATGTCGGATATGACATTATTTTTTACTTTCTGTTTCTGCAATCTCAGCTTTCAGTGAAAGGGTTTTTCGGTGATAGAAGTGAAGTGGCGAAAAGAGATAAATCGATCGTCCATAAATTTAATAAAACAGAGTTATATATCTATTTAAATCTAAAGTTAGATTGTAAAACTAGTTTAGAAACGTAGATAACCAAAATTGTTAACGTGTGCTAAGGACAAAATAATATGTATTTAAACCAATAAAAATTAAATTTGAAAACACTTTGTTCTTGCAATTAATTTATTTTTTCTTATTCAAAAATTTTAAGTACGATTTTTCCCTGAAAAAAGTTGTCAACCCTATTAATGAGACAATTTTACGTCGTTAGTGTTTAAACATGCAAATGGGGTTGTGCATTTCTTTATTAATTTATTCTTTATCGCATTCCCTATTATAAACGAATACTAACGGTTGACTTAATGTCGTTAGGCATTCTCGACCAGTCCATACATCATCAGATGGTGAGAATTTGACTTAGGTGTATTAATATAGAAAAAAATAATACAAAAACGTAAATGCACATCGGCAACAATCCCCAGTCCCAAGATAATAGAGGCTAGTTGTTTCAAGCACTAAACTGATGGTGTCGCACGCTGTGTAGCATATTGCGCCATGTTGTTGAAACCAAAGCTCTGGAGCATAGTTGCCATTCAGAAGAATAAAGAAGTCAGTCATTGCTCTATTAGCGCTCTGCAATGATAATAACATTCTGGCCTGATCATTTTTAAAGAAATATGGGTACATGGAATCATTCAACCATATACCCACAATGACAAAACCACAATGTGGATCATTAGCCATAAAGTAAGACAAACAGTGACTTTTATGTGTATGTTAGGTGTTTCAACAAAGGCCTTTGAGTTTTCTCCTCTTCCGATTCGTTAATTCTGTTTAGTGACGTGTCCGTACAATGACACAAACCACATCGCTGAACAAAGTTTTGCGTTGAAAAAGAGAATCAAGATAGATTTTGTTCTCGGTCCATTCACCGAACTCATGGCGCGCATAATGGTGACACAATTTCAACTATTGCACAAAGAAGAGCAGAGTGATTTAAATAAAGAAAAAATCTTAAACCTTGTAACAAATCTATACAGCCGACACATGTCAATATCTTCGTAATAACACATAATAATTTTGTAATGAGATTTTTACAAAAAGCCTCCCTTGATCTTGTCACCTCTGCGTCATCAATAACATAATTAAAATGTAATTAGCATTCATTTATATGTAATCCATCATTTATATGTAATCCATCATTGAATGTCAAATCCGGGATTCAATGTACAAATGTCAGTTGATATAAGGCTTGCACGGTACAGTTCTAAAAGAGGCAGAGCGTTTTTTTTATAGAATATGGTCTATATAATAATATTAATTAGGGCTATAAAATAATAACTAACGAGCACACAGTCCACATGATGGTATGTGGATGTTGTAGCCCATAGACATCTGCATCTATCATCGGTTAAGTATGAAAATGCAGATGTGTAGCCCATGAGGAATAACATTTTAGTAAAAACGGTCTCCGGTTCTCTACACTCACCATACGAAACACAGCAGCATTAAGTTGTTATTTTGCGCTGGTATTCTGTGAAAGCGTGGTCATCCCCCAGTTAAACCGACCCATTCGTGCTACAACCATAATATAACTGCAGCATGTCTCTACCACGTATAAAGCCGCCAGAACTATTAGTGTCTAGGATTCCCTCTTGGTAAGATATATTTTTATAGAAGTGAGGGTAACTTGGCTAGTGGTGCCCATATAAGATAATCCATCGCCCATCTCGTCTAGGGGCTTTTTATTTAAGAGGGGGAAATCGAGCATGCGCCTCACTTTGTAGTAAGTGTCTACTGTTGCCTATGAATAACAGCAACATCATGAGAACTGCAGATGCGTTGCCGTATATAGGAAGAGGATTGGCGATCTGCAATTTTGACGAATGAGTCAGCTCGACCGGGGAAGGACCACCGTCTCACAGAATACCAGCGTAAAATAGCAGCTTAAATGCCGCTGTCACTATCACCAAAAAAAAAGCCTTTAGCGAAAAAAGGAATACATCAAACGCCGTAATACATTATCTAATATAAAAAATTAATAAAGTTCAGTCAACATTTATCCCGCATGAGTAATTCCATATTGTTTGTCGGTAGGTGTACCACATGTGCGACGGCCTGGGCCGTCAGTTCAGCTACTCGTGCCCCAACACTACGCTGTTCCAGCAGCGCATGCTGGTGTGCGATCACTGGTACATGGTCAACTGCTCCAAGTCGGAAAGTGACTACGACGCCAACTTGCTCATTGGTAAGATCGCTATTTTAATCCTCCAGACCGAATTTCGTTCATGGCAGTGAGTCTAAACGAAGACTTACCAGCTGTGTGGGACAGGATTATAGTGCCCGAGGGTATGCGCCAGCACAGATGCATCCTTTATTCCCCTGCATTCATATCGCGATGGGTATGTTTGTCATGACTGGAGAGAGATCAGATGCAGGACCGGCTTTACGTGCTTTCCGAGGCATAAGGGAAAAACAATGCCAAATTCCTGACTCTGGTTTGCTATTGAGAATTTCTCGACAGGAAAACCAAATTATGGCCCGACCCATGATTCGGACCACTAGACCAGGAGGTAGTCAATCGATATTAATACGTATGTCGTTTCGGGCACTCCGTACACGTTCGTTCCGTAAAATTAGTTTAATTCCATGTATAAGTTTTTTTATAGAATAAGGGTGACAAACGAGCACACAGTCCACCTGATCCTCGATTAATCAAAATGCAGATGTGTTGTCCCCCCTGAGGACTAAGTTGGAATGCCTCGATTCCAGTAAAAAGGGTCTCTGGTTCTCCACACTCACCGTACGAAATACAGCAGTATTATGCCGCTATTTTAAGCTGGTATTTTTTGAGAGCGTGATCCTTCCCCGGTCGAGCTGACCTATTCGTGCTACAACCATAATATAGCTGCGGTGTGGCTCTATCACGTAAAAACGTCAAATTTCATGTAAACATAATAAAACATTAGGTAGTTAATGATATAGAGTTAGATAGAAACCTATTTTACTGTCATAGTCCCGTTCTTCCTTACATTTGCATTACTGTGCATTGGAAATAGTTATTTCATGAACATAATTAATTATATGGTTATATCGTTTATCGAACAAAGCTCTCGCTCAAAGTAGTTCCTCAGCTGACTCCGATAAAAATTCTTATATAATACTAGCTAAACCGGGCAGACATGGTCCTGATAGTTTATATCATTGGCTATGTTCGGTGTTTTTTATTTTAGTGCATGTAATTTAATTTATTAATCGCCGATCTTGATTGAAAGAAAGCAAATAAAGTCAAAAGTTTTAAATTTTCTTTCATAATAGTATATATATATTATAGGTATACTATTATGTATAGGTATACTAATTTTCATGATGATTGATCAAATAGATATTGATTTGACCTCGAAGTTGGTAATAAGGTACATAAGGTTAATATCACCGTAAGCTTTGCCGCCCTTTAAAGCCAAAACTATGAGCAGGACAGAGCCAAAAACACAGAGTCGTATCCTATAACTAATATATTAAGAAAAAAATTGCAAACAAGCTGTGGCAATAGAAGACTACACAATACTAGAATCACAGAGGTCTGTGGACAAAATCGTCTAAAATATTTATTACTCGTATAGTGTATACTGGTTAACTGGCGTCGATAAGACAGCACCCGTTTAACCCTTTATTATTTGATTGACCGTTGAAGAGCCATCGTGTCACAAAGCTATGCAAACAAGGCTGTAGTTTTTGAGCTATAAGAAAGTGTCCATATTAACCGGATGACCATATCACCCTCACGTACTATAGTGTGACATTGCAATTAATCGGACAATTTATTTTCATTAAAATATTTTTATGTCAATTAATGGTACATCATATAGGACACAATAAGCAATTGTTACCATCTTTTAATGTCTTACTTGTGATAAACAAATTAACGTATTATTATTATTGTTAAATGATTCTATATATACAGACATATATATTTATGTTTTATGTTTTTAGGAAATTTTGGTAACTCAATTTTTTTTGTATCTTTAAAATTGCTCTAGTTTTCATAGGATTAATAATGATTTTACGTTTTACAGCTCGTAAATCGTTTGCATTAGGACGGACTTTCCCTTTCGTCTGCGGAAGCTGAGGTCGTATGTAAATGTACTAATGTGAACAGCCTTTGTCGATGGGTTGCGCTACCAATACTAAGGTCCATTTTCACTAAGCGAACGACATTACTGAGTAAAAATATGACTTTAAACTTGTTCACACTTCATTAATATAGATAAAATTCAAGCTACATATACAGGGTAGTTACAGATTAAATTCGTATTATTCTTATTTTTCTTTTTTTATTTATTTATGTACACACAACAAAATACAGAAAAATAATTTAATCAAATATCTTTCTGTAGTAAAAAAATATCTATGTGAGAAGTTCTTACAACGTATTCCTTCACTGGTGAATCAGCATTTTGCTAGTTTAAATACTAATAAACGATTTTTAATAAAAATACTTCCTAAAACGGGAGAAGCCTATGCCCACTTGTGGACTTTACCTAGCTGATAAGGATGAAGAACGTTAACAGTTTTATAAGAATTTGATTATAGATATATAAAAAACACGGCTAACAAAATGTTAGATTTTTTCTAACCAATTTGTGTACTTAAAGAAAATCCTAGTGTTGAGGCAATGCTTTTTTTAAAAAACATTGATCCAATACTAGGATTTTCTCTTATTTCGTGGAGGCAGTTTACATACATTATTTGCACAAGGAAAAACATCCAGGTCCGAAAAAATTATTTATAGGCCACACAAATACTTGTTACGTGTTCCGTGAACCGTCACTAAACTACTTAGTCGTCCTAATTTGACAGATAATACTTTAATCGATTTGTCATGTTCCATGGATAATAAATACCATAATATAACTTCGCCATAAAATAAATATGGCTGTCATTAATTACCAAAAATTCTCGGCCTATAATAATAATAGTCAAATGTAACGTGTATGGTATAGGTACAATAATAAGTTAGTAATAAAAATAAATATATCAAGAATAAATACATTACACGAATGAAAACATACCTTAAGTCGTTGTAGTTTATGGTTCTGATTATTAGGTAATATTTGTAGCGGTAACGGAAATGGCGGGGATGGTTCTTCATTGCCTGCCTCATGAGGAAGCTCGATATTACTCGCGGGCTTTGCATTACTCATTACTCGAGGTTTCATGTTTTTTTTAATAAGGGTGACAGACGAGCACACAGTCCATCTGATGGTAAGTGGATTACTGTGGCCCATAGACATCTACATCCATCCTCGATTAAAAATCAAAATGTAGATGAGTGGTCATCTTTGAGAAGAGGGCCATTAGAGCAGTCTGTGATTTAAAACTTAAGGAGTCGCTCAGACAGAAATTTAAGGAAATTAATATATTAACTTTGGCCTCTCAATATATTTACGAAAATATAATGTACATACACAAAAATAAAAGTAAAACCCAAGGGGTTAGCAGCGACTTTATGGAGAAAGAGGGACTTTTTATGATGAACTCTTTCTTCCAGAAGCGGCCCCACAGATAGTGGACCTGGACGAGCCCCGATGGTTCGACAAAAAATGAGATTGACTTCATTATGACGACCAGACGCCAACTGTTCAGTGATGTCTCAGTGATCGCAAGGGTGAAAACTGGCAGCGATCACCGAATGGTTAGAGGCACACTGAACCTAAACGTTAAGTTGGAGAGGTCTCGTGTAATGAAGTCAACGATCCGTCCCCCTCGTGCTTTAATCAGAATCCCGAAACCTTTCAGCTCGAGTTACGTAACCGCTTTCAGTGCCTAGAAGATTGCAATGCAGTGGACGATATGAATGACAAGCTCGTGGAAACTGTCCATTCGGTCGGAGCTAAGTTCTGCAAGACCCGCCGCAGAAGAACACAAAACTCTTCGATCACACTCTTAATCTCATGGCTGTTAGACGGGAGATGAGGCTGCAATCGTCAACAGATTTGACAGCATACAGGCAACTGAACAGACAGATCTCCAAATGCTTGCGGCGAGACTTACGCAACTTTAACACTGCTCGTATTAAAGAAGCGATCGAGCGGAACCAGGGCTCCAAAGTCTATGCCAGAGATCTGTCTGCCAGAAAGAGCCAACTGTCAAAGCTGAAGACTGAGTGTGGCAGCATCGTTTCCGGGACACCTGAGATTCTGAGTGAGATTAAGAGGTTCTATGGGCAGCTGTACACATCATCGTTGGAGCCACACGCAAGTGTGAGTAACGATCCAAGAGCAAGTCTTATCCGACACTATTCCGATGATATCCCGGACGTCAGTCTGAGCGAGATTAGAATGGCTCTCCAGCACATTAAAAACGGCAGGGCCCCAGGCGAGGATGGAATTACAGCGGAGCTTCTGAAAGCGGGTGGAACACCGGTACTTGAAGTCCTTCAGAAGCTCTTCAATTCCGTCCTCCATGGTGGCACTACTCCAGAGGCATGGAGCAGAAGTGCGGTGGTCTTGTTCTTTAAGAAAGGCGCCAACGCTCTCTTAAAAAACTACAGACAGATATCCCTTCTGAGCCGCGTCTACGTGCTGTTTTCGAGAGTCATTACGAATCGTCTCGCACGCAGACTCGACGACTTCCAGCCCCCCGAACAAGCCGGTTTCCGAAAAGGCTTTAGTACCATAGACCACATACATACCCTGCTGCAGATTGTACAGAAGACCGAAGAGTACAATCTGCCACTTTGCCTGGCGTATGTGGACTATGAGAAAGCCTTTGATTCCGTCGAAATTTGGGCGGTGCTACAGTCCCTTCAGCGGTGCCAAGTTGACTGTCGGTATATCAAAGCCCTGAAGTGTTTGTACAGTAGGGCTACGATGGCTATCCGAGTACAGACCCAGAGCTCGAAACCTATCCAACTGCAGAGAGGTGTAAGACAGGGTGACGTTATATCCCCGAAACTCTTCACCGCTGCATTGGAAGATGTTTTCAAGCTACTGGACTGGAAAGGATACGGTATTAACATCAATGGCGAGTACATCACTCACCTTCGATTTTCCGACGATATAGTCCTTATGGCAGAATCGCTGGAGGACCTAAGCACTATGCTCAATGACCTAAATGGTGTCTCCCAACGGATATGTCTTTAGATGAACATGGACAAAACAAAGATCATGTTTAATATCCATGTCACACCTATGCCGGTAGTCATTGGGAGCACTATGCTCAAAGTTGTTGACGAGTACGTTTACC